ATAGATAGATAGATAGATAGATAGATAGATAGATAGATAGATAGATAGATAGATAGATAGATAGATAGACTTAGTCTGATTTTTTTCAGCAACAACAGAGAAAAATTAAACGCAAAATAATAATAATTAAAAAAAGATCACCAATGTCCCAGAGATGGATGACTAATTACAAGTTAAAAACGGTTTAATGGACCAAAAAGACCTAAAATGTACAAATATGACTTTAGGTACACCAAAGAATTACAATTAGGATGTCCCTGTGATGGAATGGACACCTGTCCAGGGTGTCCCTCGACTCTCACACAGTGACTGCTGGACACCAGTGACCCCCACTACCCACAAAGGAAGACGCGGGTAAAGATAATGGATGGATGGATGGATGGATTGATGGATTGATGGATTGATGGATGGATGGATGTCTTTATGTTGTACTCTGACTGTGAGATGAAACACTTTATTCCACAACGTGAGCTTCAACCAACACAAAGTTCTAATTCCATTTCTCACGTGACTCATGTGTTGTTTTGACCTCAGCCTCATCATGTTTGCTCCACATCTTCACTGCACCTCACGTGTCGTTAGGATGAGCTCCTTCATCAGAGAACAGCTTCTCTTTGTCCATGATTTAAACACAAATTGCTCTAAAAATAAAAAAAAAAGAAATAAACTTGGAACAGTCAGTTGATGATTTTTTTTCTTCATTCATGTTCATAATTGCATAAATGTGTTTTTTTGTACTTAAATGTTAATACAATTGTTTGTTTTGGTTCGTGTCGCCCTCTTGACCAGGAAAGACAAAAACTAGATTTATCAGAGGGACTTAAAACAATAGAACATTAATAAAAGAAATAAAATTCAAATCTACTTTCTGCCTCTTTAAGACAAATCCAGCCACGTTTGAAACGTCTCTGTGTGTTTGCAGCTCTTCGTGTGGAAAACCTGCAGCTTAATTAGGTGACTACAGAGACGTATCTATTTCTGAGGGCCACCCATGGGGGTCCCCTTGGCTTTGTGGGAGTGTGTGTGTGTGTGTGTGGGGTGGGGGGGGGTGCAGGTGGAGCAGCCCTGGCCTGTGTGTCATCACCCTGCAGCCAGACTGCAGCAGCTGAGAGCTGACCATCTCTCATCATCTTATTTATCACAGACTCCCAGTTTTGTCCCCCCCCCCACCACCACCACCACTGTTCAGGAGAGCAGTTCCACATCTTCTCAACACGCTCATTAATGCCTCTGTTTAGTATCTGGTCTGGTTAAGACACGACTTCATTCAATATGTTCAGCTAATGACTCCATCCATCAAATCAGCCACTCATACAACAGATACATGAAACTCAGAAACTGTGTTTTATTGTAAAATAAAAAGTAAATAACTCCTACAAATATTTACAGTTTGATATAGCACATTTATTTTTTAGTTTAACATGAATCCATCGCTGTGGAGATATGATGTTTAGTTATATTTCTTTTTTTTATTTAATAGTTTATTGTTTGTCATATGCAGTTAAAGTCAACAGTACAATAAATGTTCAGGATGAGAAGAACTGTTTCAACTCACTAAAAAAAAAAAAAAATCAAGAAATTTTAGAGCATACAATAAAAGTACAAAATAATGAACCAAAAGTGAAAAAGAAATAGAAATATATTATTTACAAGGTCCAAAAGAAATGTATAGTAAACAACATGGCAGATCTTTTCACCCATTAATAAAAGAAAATAAAAATTTAAGGAGACTTGCGACCCCAGTGTTGCTGGTTAAACTGCAAAAAGCAAAAAGTTTGGATGAAAAATATTAAAATGTAATGTTTTTCATCCATTTACAGTTTTTTATTTATTTTATATTTTGCCTTTTAATAACAGTTAAACCGAAATAGTGACAATACAATTAAATAGATTTCAGTAAGTCTTCTTCAGACCCTTCACGTGCTGTTTAAAGACTCAGTGGGTTCAGTTTCAGGAAACAAAAATTTCTGGTTTGCAACTTTTTATTTATTCATTTATTTGTATTTCTGCTCGTCACAGAAACAACAACCACGAGAGCCTGACATGGCAAACCCAACACAACTGTTGTGTTATCAGTGACAAACATGTTTGAATACTTTGGAAAAAGTAATGTTAATTTTATTTTTTAAAATTAGTGCAGGGGAATATAATATAATTTGTCCCACAGCACAGACGAATACACAAGATAAAATAAAATGAAGAAACAACGAAATAGCGCACATAATTACCCAAAAAATAAAATAAAGGTTTAAACAAAATAAATAAATAAAAAACAGGAGTATCTCAGGAAAATATTCACCTTGATTTCTGAGTTAATCCACTTTGGCCTTCACGTTTCATCCCCAAAACAAAAGAAAATAAAAATAAAAAACGCATCATTTTAAGAATACAAATGAGTCTAAAGTTTAGTTTCAGAACGGAAAATGGCTGAAAAGTAAAGGTGACGGGATTATAAAATAAAACAAAATAAAAAAAATGTGTTGGATCCAGAAAAGGCAGAAGTTTGATGGCTATGACGTCACCCTCAGAGCAGCTGCTGCACGTGACTCTCAGCTACTACCACGCCGTCTGTGAACAGTGCGAGTTGCGTGTTTCAGATTTATTCTGACTGGTTTCTACCTGCCCGGCTTGCGGCTGCCGCACGCACGCGCGCGCGCGTTACGTCACAACAAAGCTGTAAACAGGCATCTGGACAATCCGTAAACAAAACAAGTGAGAGTGAAACTTGAAGTGCGGAGAGGCCGCGGAGGAATTTTCATCTGAAAGTTCCGCCTGTTTCCTCAGACAGACCTTGAGCAACAAACACGGGTCAAACTTTCATCTACCTCTAATTTCATTGTTACTTTTATTTATGCGCTCAGTTTGGCCCCTTCTTCTTCTACTCTAATTAAAGTAGTAGAAGAAGAACGCATTTAAACACAGATGCTTAAAGTAATTAAACACTGACTTCTACGGTTTTTGTCTCATTCAGTTTTCTTTCTTTAAGTTTTAGATTTTATTGAAATAAACAGAATGACGCACAACCCGCTGCACACTTCTCCCTGCACCATGTCAGATCACTTGGTGCTGGCGGCCATGATGGCGCTCGTGAACACATCAGTGCGTGTTTTCTTCGTCCACAACATTCTCTGAAGACTTCTCGCATGCACGCGCCTCTCAAAATATAACTACACTATAAATGACTTTTCTCATCATGGGCCATAAACGTGAGAGTCTTTGATCAAGTCTTAACATTTTAAATCATTTCGTTAAGACGCGCGTGTTCTTCTTAAAATGCATGTTTTAAACGTGCAGGCCTGACAGCAGAGCTGTGAAACCATCACGGACTAAATGTCATTGGAAACAGTGAATTCCTGCTCTCGCGCACTTCCTGCCCCCCCACATTAGGATGTTTATGATTGCGCGTGCGGGTGGAATGCGGCGGACGGAACCGATGGGTCAGGTCGGGTCCAGAGAACACCCACCCGGACTGAGCCAGGAAGGCAGCAATCAGGGGTCAGACTATTATTATTATTATTATTATTATTATTATTATTATTATTGTTGTTGTTGTTGTTGTTGTTGTTGTTGTTGTTGTTGTTATATTATGTGTAATAGCCACATAAAACACATTGTAACTTATGTGCATTTAACATGAAAAGTCACTTAATATTTATGACAACAATAATAATAATAATAATAATAATAATAAATATAAAGTTAAGGCTTTCTTTAGTTCATACAAATGAAAAATAATAAATAATGTTTTCTTTTATTTCTTTATATATATATATATATATATATATATATATATATATATATATATATAATTCAGTTAATTTTATTTGTATAGCGCCAAGTCACAAGAGAAGCAGGGCACTGAATAAAAACATTCACATACATTATAAATGCCAGTTAGTAAAGTTATCCATCATCATCATCAAAGTTATCTATTTTCTTCTGAAATAAGTAAAATACACGTCTCTGTTTAGAATCAAAAGCAAAATAAATGATAATTTCTTGTTTGTTTGTTTTTTTCCAGAGGAAGTTCGACTTGTGGTATTTAGGCAATTACAGCCATCAACTTTAAGTTATTTGTTCTTGCTTTAATTGTTTTCAGAAAATATTGTATATGCTGAAATAAAAAGCATATAGCCAATCTTGATTATTGATCATTGTGATCATTCCAAGTTCTCACTTAATGCCTTTAAGTTATTTGAATCACTTTGGTAAAGCTGCTGTTTTGAATGTGCTTTATAAATCAATTAAACGTGACTATTTTCAGCATTTTGTCTGTGATTAATATCTGCACATGCATCTGTTTTACTCAGTATTTATTTGCATTGACACAATTTTCTGAATAAACACTGAGGGAGTCATTTAAGAAATCTTAGGGGGGGGAAAGCTAAACAAGGACACATCATTACAATGTGTCTTTGCAGCTTCACAGTGCTGTTTAGTTTTTTAATGTCAGTAATGCTTTTTATTTTTAGAGTCATTACTCAAAGAAGAAAACAGTAAAGAC